CTGTATAGTTCATACTAGAATAGTATTATATATACCAGAGTAGTATTATCTTGGATAAGTAGGTATCAAGGCACTGAAACTTGGTGTCTAAACACTGTGTAAAACTGATTAAAACTGTAAAACATAACTTATAGGTGCTGACCAAACAGTTATGAAAAATAGTAGGGAAAATTCAACTCTTTTCTATTTTCAGGAGAGTTCTAAAAAAGTTTACTTAAGGATATTTTTGAATCTCCTGCCAGTTCTTAGCATTCAAAGTATATGCTGGTCAATATTTGTAACAAGCTGAACTAGGAACCTAATGACCCCTAAAAATGTTGTATTTCTGTCCTTTTCTCATTGCCTAAGAATGAAATCACAACTCCATAACTTAACATAAAACTCCTTTTATTCTCAGTCTAATCTATTCATCTTACCAGCTGCATCTCTTCCTGTCCTTCACTATCACCTCTTCCATAAGAATGATATATCTGCCAATCTTTATATATAACCGGCTATGACCTTTCATGACTCTTGTCTTTACACATAAGCTTTCCCTGTACGTAATGCTTCCTCCTTTTTTCTTTATGTTACAAATTGTTACTCATCTTTCAACTCTAACTTGAAATGTCACCTTTCCTCTCTTGCTATGAAACTGTCAGATGCCACTTCCTATGCTGTCAGAGTATTTACTCGCAGCATTAGACTCTTCTTGGCTCTTCAGACTCTCAACATCTAATTTGTTGTCTTAGTGAAAGAAAGCAGGGAATCAGTCTAAACTCTGAGGAAATACATAGTGAGTGAGGGATGATAACCTTAGATCATTTTTTATGACAGTCAGTGTACATATTGGAGAATTCATCCTAACTGCTAAGAGTATATTATTTCTATGCTATGGTTGTTTTTAAAATGTTAAGAGTTAATTAGAATAATATTGTTTAGTTTTACATTATAGTTCTCATTTTGGTCTGTTTGTTTGTTTGTAGTAGGGATTGAACTCAGAGTGCTCTACTACTGAGTCAAATATCCAGGACATTATTTAAATTTAAATTTAAAATTTTATTCATATTTTGAGACAGAATCTCACTAAATTGCTGAGACTGCTCTCAAACTTGGGATCCTCCTGTCTCAGCCTACTGAGTTGACAGGATTATAGGCATGTGCCACTACACCTGGTTACATTCTAGTTGTTAGTCATTTATTCTTAGTTTGGATTACAAGAAGTGGAAAGTAGATGATGTCAATTGATTCCATATATTCATAAAGTACAGGATACATTTTTTTTCAAATGTGGGAATACATCTCATGGTTTTAATGATGACTTGGGAAACAGCCATCATTAAGGACATTGTTATTGTTTTATATGCATTGTAATTTCTAATTTCCTTTTCAAGTACTTTTGTGCAGAAAAGTCCAATGTATTTTCTACTGTTAATTAAATGTCCTTAGGTTTGATATTTTATGTTATTGAAATTATGATAATTGCTTCTTTATATGTATGACATATCATACATTGAATAACATGAAAAGGATACCTTGTATATCAAATGAAAAAAAACCATCAATAATGTAGTTTAGGCTTTATTAAGTAATTTGCAACATAATAGCTATTCTATATCAGTATTAGTTTATGAAAAGAACTGTCAAATATCATTTCATTTTTATTGAGGCATCACATGAATTTCTTGAGTGTATAAACCCTGTATTAATGGATATTATTAGGGAGGATTCATAATATGTGTAATTAAAACAAATAAGTCAATGATAAGATAACCTATGGAACTTTGCAGAAATATTTTGTTTACATATAAAACATATGCTAATACATATGTTATAGCTAAAAATATGCTATACTATTTCTATAAGGTAAGCAGTATGTTTAATTAATTATCTTGTAATTCTTATATTCTTGGAGAAAAGAATGTGGGATGTTTATTAACTCACTGATTCCACCTGCATAATAAGTAGATTTTTCATTGAATAAATTTGGTTTAATGCATAATATCCTAATTTTTATTAAGTGCTTTATTTCTATTCCTAGTTTATTGAGAGTTTTTTATTGTGAAAGTGTGCTGAATTTTGTAGAATACTTTCTTTTTGGTTTTGAGACAATTATGTGACTTTTAGACTTATTCTGTTAATATGGTATATGGGTCACTTTAATTAACTTTTATATACTGAAACTTCTTTAAGTCCCAGAAGTAAATCCCACTTGATCATGGTATATAAGTCTTCTAGTGTGCTGTAGAATTTAGTTTGCTGATACTATGTTGAGGATTTTTAAACCTGTGTTCATCAAGAATATTGGTCTCTAGCTTTCTTGTCTTTACCTGCGTTGACACTAGGGTAATTCTGGCCTCATAAAATATTTAAGAGTGTTTCCTCCTTGTTTTTGGAAGGTCTTGGCAGAATTGGCATTAACTCTTACAGTGTGTGAGATTTTACCAGTGTGTGGGAGTTTTACCAGTGAAACCATCTCTAGTCCTGTATATTTCTTTGTTGGAAGGTTTTTATTACTGTTTCAATCTCCAAAGTCTGAATGGACATATATCTTACTGATACTAGTTTATATATAGGTCTGTTCGGACTTTATATTTCTTCATGATTTAGTCTCAGTGGGTCATATGGTATCATTATTTTTTATACATATTTTGTTACATATTTAGTGTAATTTACCATTTTAAGATAATTCCAGAAAATAAAAATAAGTATGATATATTATGATATATTATAGCATGGAGTTATTTTACTATCATCTGTCAGCAATGCTAGGTTCAGATAACTAAAGAATTAATTAATGTAATATATGTTAATAAATAGAGCAGGTTGAAGTGAACCTTTGCTTAAAACAGTGTCAAAAATTGATTGATACCATTTTTATATCTAAAATATTTACCACAGACTGTTCCAGAAGTCTTACAGAAAGACAATCACATAACAATTAAGTTCATGTAAAATATACTTAGTTACCCTTAAGAAATATCTCAAGATCAGTATATTTTCTTTAGATCTTAAATGAAACAAATAAATGAGGTCCAGATTTTATGAAATGTTTAGGATGATAACTTCTGAGTGAATAATTAGTTTGCTTCTGGGTGATTTTGCAAGCTAAATTGTCCAAGACTTGTCTTTTAAAATGCTCTTATTGGTTAACTTCAACATAATGAAAGATTGAGAGCCAGTAGACAACTTGTGAGTAATCAAGCAAAGAGGTATTACATTCAGAAAAGAAACACTTGGACAATCAGAAACATTTTATCATGGCAGGCATTATGAGAAATACAAACAGCTTTAAAAAAATGTTTCCAGGATTTGAAATCAGTTTAAACATAATATTCTAAAATTATTAAGTAATATCAGAGCATGAATTTATAAATCTATAATCTGAATGATTTTATACACTAAATAATACTTTCTTCAAATGCATTTATTTTGAAACTGAAAAATGTAGAATTAAGACTACATGCCTGGATGGCATGGTGGCACAGACCTATAATCCCAGTGGCTCAGGAGGCTGAGGCAGGAGAATCTTGAGTTCAAAGTCAACCTCAGCAACTTAGTGAGGCCCTAAGCAACTCAGGAAGACTCTGTCTCCAAATAAAATGCTAAAATGGACTGGGCATGTTTCTCAATGATTAGTGCCCTTGGATTCAATCCCTGGTACGAAAAAAAAAAAAAAGACTACAAATTAGGCAAAATACTGATAGATAAGGAAAAATTCTACAACATACCGCTTCATCAAAACATAAGCAATCATATCATTTCCTTTACTCTGCGGCTTCCCATTTCACTGAGGGGAAATATCTACTTGTGCCTGTGTAAGCTGCCATTCACCCTAAACTACCACTTCTCACCCCAAATGCCACTCCAGCCTCATTCTTTCCTCTAGCCCCACTGCCTTTATTCTGTTTCTGAAACTTGGCACTAATTGTTTAGTTAGCCTGTGGTCTTTTGCCCCCCAGATATCCTCGCATTCATCTCCAATCACTTATCGTTTTTTTAAGTTTTCTTGTAAATGTCACCTTGAAAGTGAGATCTTCCTTGATTATTTTACATTCCAACAACAATGCCTCCTCCCATCTATTGCATTCCTGACTCTGCTTCTCAGGCCTATATCATTCAGCTCCCCTCCACAATAGTATATAAATGTTTATTTTATATGTCTACTACCCCCACCCCAATACATCAGTAGCATTGAAAGCAGGGATTTTTTTCTTGTTTTATTTATAGTTATGTTCACAGAACTTTGCATGGTATGTGGCTCCTATGTAGGGAAGAAATGGGTACATAACTGCAACACCATACCAACTTCCATCACAGGATGGAAACTTCATGACTGTTTACACCCAAATTAGTATTTTTAAAGGTGTAAGTGCCAGTTACGATGTACAGCTTATTTTCCTGGGTTTCTGACATACTTCTCATTATTTAAATAAATACAACAAAAATGAAGATAGTAAATTTCAGTAATATTGAATCAGGCTAACATCATTGTATACTTTTTCCCCCCTGGAAATCTTGTGTTCAGCTAAGAATGTTGGTTATGACAATATTTGCTAGGATTATTCTTTTTATTTAGTTTCTTAAATTTGGGGGATGGAACACAAGGATCAGACATGATTTATGCACTTCCAAATCAATTCTGATTAGGGTTCTTTCTTATATCTTATTCTATATTTTAATAATTAGTCCTCAGTGTTTATTAAGTTTAATATAGTAATACTAATTAACTCAGCCATAAATAATTTAAGTCATTCTAAGATTCTAGAAAACATAGAGATTAAAAATATTATATTTATTTTTATTTCAACTAATACACAGCATATTAGTATAGTATAGGTACTGAGGATGGATGCACTCATTTGTAGAATCTTTAACAAAATCTCCACGTGAAATAATGTACTTCTAACATACCTGAAGCTCACATTTGAAGAAATTTGTTTTTTAGAGAAATTTCTCTTTTCTGAATTTGTCACCCAGACTGTGATATTAAATCATGTTTTTTCCAATTGTGTTTTTAGGTTGTATTCAGTTGGGGGTCGTGATGGCAGTTCCTGTTTGAGTTCAATGGAATACTATGATCCTCACACAAATAAGTGGAACATGTGTGCTCCGATGTGCAAGAGGAGAGGGGGTGTTGGAGTGGCCACATGTGACGGTTTTCTTTATGCAGTAGGTGGTCATGATGCTCCTGCTTCAAACCACTGTTCCCGGCTCCTGGATTATGTAGAAAGGTAAGACCCCTTGGGCATTGCTAAAGTGTAAGTGAAGGTGCTCACGACACTGATGGCTAATTCTAGTGATTGTGAAAACTGTACTTTAGGAAAAACAACTTAAATTCCTCCCCACCCCCTTTCACACACACACATTCTTTCATTTTCTCATTTTCATGTTTTCTTTTTTTTCTTCCTTGCTTCCTTTTTTCTTAAGTCCCTGAATTTTTCTTCTCATGATCCTTAAATAATGTTAAAATTTCTCCTTGAGGAGTTTTTAAAAGGTTGGCTGAAACAGTATTATTTACCAGACAGGAATATTTGTTCATCCTTTCTTGGGGGGAGAGGGGATATTGGGGATTGAACCACTTGACCACTGAACCACATCCCCAGTCCTATTTTGTATTTTATTTACAGACAGGGTCTCGCTGAGTTGCTTAGTACCTTGTTTTAGCTGAGGCTGGCTTTGAATTTGAAATCCTCCTGCCTTAGCCTCCAGAGCCCCTAGGATTGCAAGCATGCGCCACGATACTCTACATTTTTTAAATATTAGATATTTTAATATTAGATATTTTTGTTTGTTTTATTCATCCAGTCTTGTTTGTTTCTACCTACCTCTTCAGACTCTCCAAGACCTATTATGGACTTCTTTGTTTTAAGACACACCCTTTTAAATGTAAGAGTTACTAGAACTATCTTTATTTTTAATAAAATCTCAAACTTGAGATCCTCCTGCCTCAGGACTTTGAGTCCCTGGGATTACAGGTGTGAACCACTGTGCCCAGCTTCTTTTAACTCTTCCTAAAAAATACCAGGTACACATAGACCAGAATGAGAAGGTACTTCAACTTCAGGCTTAGTGTTCCCTTTCAGGGCTGTGCCTTGTTTAGAATTGTTATACTTTAGGCAGTAAGGGTTTTAACATCTTTTAGTAAGACTCATGGTGATATTTCCTGTTATTGAAAGATGCATGTTAATCTATAGGGAAATGAAAATATAGAATACTGGTGTTATCAGCTGGAATAAATAAACCTGTTGTACCTTCAAACCTCTCAATGGTGTAACAGCATGATGCTACTTGTCTATGGTGCTATCACTCTGTGTAGGGACTGCTGTGATACTGTCTTCCCACCCTCATGAATGTGTGTATAAACACCCATAGAGAGAGAAAGAGAGAGGGAGAGTGCACTTGCACAGCAGTCCCTACACTGAAAGGAAAAAAAAAAACTAATACTATGAATAAAGATACTACTTGCAAGTAATACAATTCTCTTTCTTCCAACTTTAGTGACAAACCAGCCATATGGCCACAGACAACTTCATGAGGGTGGAAAGACAGTATCATAACTTCCCCATGGGAGAAGAGCAAGATGTGTTTCCCACTGAACACAGGGAAACTTTTCTTTTGATATTAAGAAGCTACATCATTTATACTCATGCTTATAAGTGGTATAGTTAGTTGGAGAAAGATACAATAACGTTTTGCTAGAAACAATATCATTATTCTATTGAGGTTCAGTCCATTAGCAAGAAATAGCTTTTGTTAAGCAGTATCAACTCAAATATATGCTGTTCCCTCTATAGATATCCATAAATAATGTTAAACAGTATTGCTGCTCTGTGAAATGGACTTCATTTTTATGGTTACATATACATAGAGAAGGGCATTAGGCTTACCATGTTTCTATTAAATATTCTCTAATCTACTGAAATTAGGAACTATAGGTGTTATAGTAAGGCTGATGGTGAGGATCTAAATAAATAGATTTATATTTTTATACACATAAAAATGCAATCATTTTTTAATAAATCTAAGTAAATTGAGAGGTCCTTCACATTTTCCTCTGCTGAATTCCTGGGAAAATGAAGGAGAAGCTGAATATGAGCAGGGTTCTACTTTTACCTTGAATATCATATGCAAATGCTGCTAATGAAATGATATTTTATCCAAATATTCCCTCTAACTTTACTGTATGATGTATTGAAATGTTGTTTGTGAACAGAGGCATAAATAATTCAGTCTAGGAATACATTTATGATGCAAAATTAGATTTAAATAAGCATAGCTATTTTAAGTCATAGAAGTGTAATGAGTACACACAGCTTAAGTAATGCAGAAGCACATAGTGTTCTCATGATTCTGTCCTAATTCATACTACCTGTCAAAGTGATAGCATCCTTGCATGTTTTGTAAACTGTTTTTTTATTGATGATTTCACATGTAAATCATCAATAAAAAAGTACATAATGTGTTTCTGTAGAACTATTTTGCACATATAATGTGAAAAATATTTTACTATATAATCATAGGCAAAACAGAATACTGGAAATAATGACTAGTGTACAATGCTATATTTGATTGGTAGGTAGATAGGTATGTCAAATTTTAATATACTATTTGCATAATTCCTTATGCAAATGCAAATATATTATATAATAATGGTATTAAACACAGTTATATAATACTTAAAATTTTTACAGTCACCTCTCATAAGCACAAAGAATATCAGATCAGAGCAAGTTGGAAACCAGGGACTGAGTGAGAACAGGGAGTCTAGAATAGTCTATAGAACAAACAAAATTTGATTTTGTGACTGAGTCTCACATTAATGAGAGCATCTTGGCTGACAAAATTTGTTTCCAAAATTCGCAGTGAGTTCTAGCCTATAAAATATGCTGCATTAGACAAAGAACTTTCACACATTTGTTTAGGCAATTATTATATTGTATATATTTTGCAATGTGCCATACAGAGTTTACAATGTGTTTTAAGAGACGAGAAACAAATAATCAGAGCTTGATATTTAATAACATTTTAATACTTTTTAACATTTAATATTAGCAAATATTTTATTATATTTAAATGACGAATTATATAATTAATAATTAATAATATTAACATGTTATACAACAATACTATTAATTAATAATATTTCAAACAAAACTGGAATCTAGGCCATAGATCAGAAAATGTCTGCAAAAGCATCAATACCACTTTTGGCTATTAGTAGATCCAAATGACTTTGCCCTCAGATCTGCATCCTAGTAATGAAGGATGATAAGAGAAGAGTTTAAAAGTAATAGAAACTCCCTAAACTTTCTAACACCCACTTTTGCTTCTTCCAATTTATTCTTCTCATAGTTGCTAGAGGAATATTTTCATAATGCAGATTTGGCCTAATTATCGATATCAATTAAAATTATGCTTACATCAGTCTTTCCACTAAAGTTTGCTCCATATGTTGGTAATGACAAGATTACATTTCTTCCTAAGTATTTCTGCACTTTGGCAAAATCCCTGGTAAAGTAGGCACTTAGTCAAGATTTATTGAATATGACAGTAAAAAAATGACCTCAAATTTTCCCCAAGAAAAATTATCTTCAGGGAAACTAAGTCATTATACTGATACATAAGTGAATTAGAAGATGATATATAGAAAGAAATGTTAAATCATCTAGTTATATGTATCATGATATATCAACTCTCTATGTATGTGTTATATAGAGTGATAAGAGTGACATGTATATATTTCTCTTTCTCTCTGTATAATATATATGATAAGAGTGAGCATTGGATGAATGGAAGAATGGAAGGATAAATGGATGTTTGGAAGAACAAATATATAGTAGGTTCTTACTTGATTATTTTTACCAGATTTTCATGTAAATGTCTATTTTCATCATATTTGGCTGAATATCAATGATTCTTATATATTTAAGATATTTATTCAATAGACAAAAAATTTCAGGGTAGATGGTGCCTGAAAAACAAAGCAATGGTTCAAATATTAATTAAAAATATCTTTATATGTTAATCAAACACAATTAACAAGTAATTGTAAAAGTATTTTATATATTATCATAAATAGACAAAAATTTTCAAGGTCTATCAAAATCTAATCCAGTCAGAAAAATTTATCTAAAACAATAGTACTTATTATATTTCTGTAAAGATGTACCTCAATAGGGCTGGGGATGTGGCTCAAGCGGTAGCGCGCTCACCTGGCATGCGTGCGGCCCGGGTTCGATCCTCAGCACCACATACAAAGATGTTGTGTCTGCCGATAACTAAAAAATAAATATTAAAAATTCTCTCTCTCTCTCTCCCTCTCTCTCTCTCTCACTCTCTCTTTAAAAAAAAAAAAAGATGTACCTCAATAGTTTTATTTTGTTAATCTCTGATAAAACGAAATGAGTAAAGGCAATATGTGCAGTCATACAAGCAGGAATAAACACATTATTCAATTTGTTACAACATTGAACTTTTAATTACCATAAACATTAATATATGAGGTAAGAATAGGAATCTTGGATACTTTCATTTCTTTTTTTCATCCTACTTCATTCCCATCCTATTTGTTTACACAAAGTCCAAGAATTGTAACATTTGTAGAACAGGAAGAAGTGAAAAAGGAGAGACAACCTATTTGCTCAGGTGATTGACATTTTTCTTAGTTTTTTTAAGAACCACGTTAATTTTTACTTATGTTTTATATATATATATATCCCTAAATTTAAATTTTTACTTTTATTATATATACATATATATATCCCTAAATTAATTTTTACTTATGTTTTAAATTTCTTTTTTGTATTTACAATAGATAGGGATTTTATGAAAATTTAAGTACTGAGGGGCTCAGCTTTATTAGTGGATACAATAATTGTTAACTGATACCACAGCTATTAATAATTTAGATATGATTAGATATTTTCCAGAATGACTTATGAGGCAAGGGACATTTTTGAAGTGGTCAGCTGGAGACACTGACAGAATGGCCTGCTGGAAAGCTCGGTCCAGAATTCTGGCATTATATTTTTTTATCTGTATATTTTGAAGGAGAAGAACAGTCCTGTGAAATGGCAGATGTTCATGAATTAAGGAAACATGTCACGTCCTTTATAAATGGGAGGATATCAACCCTGTTATCAAACTGAAAAATTCATTTTTATTTTGGCAGAAGTTATTTTAAATGCATAGTTAGAATTCACAGGTGGTTCTGTCATATTAATAGAGAAAG